TAATATTAGGTTTAACATTCTTTTTCAATTAAACTCATCACTTTTACTTGAATGACTTCTTTATCTCTTGCTTTGTCATTATTTGAAATATTATTTCCAGGTTAGGTGCTATACTTTTTTTTGTTCACTTGGCATTAGATGTTAGTTGTTTTCTTGACTTTGTCATTTTTGTCAGATTATTAGGCCGAAGTACAACTGTTATCATGTATTCAATGACATCGTCACTTAATAATCAACTTCCTGGTTTTGTAAAAATGTCTTTCTTTATTCTCCCCACTTGTCTGTCAGTGTGTTTTACTGTGATGGCTTGTGTGTTGCTGTGAGGCTAGAGCCGCCTCTTCAAGTTAGAGTCTGTCTTAGTGAAATAAACAGAGCAGAGCTTCCTTGACCTTTGTTTACTTATGGAGACACAACTGAAAATGAGAAGAAACAGCTGTAACTATCCATTGATTTTGGAAATGTAGAGTGTAAGAATAATCTAGGAAAATTGAAAGTCATCAAAAATTAAATGACCTGTGCAAAGATCAATATCTTGGCATTAATGTGAGCTGAAAAGTTATAGCATTGTATTCATCGCCAAAAAGAGCATTTCAGGATCTGTCTGTAAAGATATTACGTTATGTGACAGAACATACAGGGAAGACCACTTAACAGAACTATTATTCAAGTGTGCACCAACCTCAAAAGCTAATGATGAAGAAATTGAAGATTTCTACCAACTTTTTCAGTCTGAAATGGATGGAACATGCAATTAAACCACACTGATAATTACTGCCATTCGAATGTGAACTTTAGAAACAGAGGATGATCAGTAGCTGAAAAACAAGGTGTCAGTGAGAGACATGAAGTGGGAGATTGCATGATAGAATTTTGTAAGAGTAAGGACTTGTCAGTGCACATACTCTTTCAACAATGGAAACAGTGCTGCTAAGCCGGGACCTCACCAGATGGAATACACAGGAATCAAGTTGACGACCCAGTGGAAAGAGATGATGGAGAAGCTCAGTATCAGCAGCCAGATTAAGGCTAAGGGCCTAGTGTGCAGCACACCATCAGTTGCTCATATGTAGTTCAGGTTGAAGCTAAAGAAAATTAAAACAAGTTCACAAGACTCAAACTGTAGCCACTTGAATTTAGAGACCATTGCAAGAATTGATTTGACCAATTAAACACTGAT